TGTGTATTTACAATAGAGCCAGTCAGGGAAATAATAAAAGAGGTTATGGATATGGCCCCCAAAAAAGGTGGGGAATGCGGGTGAAGGGATTCAAGATATGGATCTTGGAGAAATTCAAGAGCTAATAGACACCACACCAGATGAATTGAGAAGACAATTTGATGTAAATGAGTGCTTTTAAACCAATGCTGCATGAAGATGTAAAAGAAGCAGTGCCAAAAAACAAATTGATATTAGGCAATCTGATATAAGGGTTCCGATTATTCAAGACTGCTTTTGACTTCTTTTGACCCTTCTCTTATACAGGAAGTGATACTAAAGCCAACAGTGAAAGGACTGGAAGTGTATAAAAACATTTTTAGAGAAATGAAAAAGGAGAAGTCAGGCAAGAATTATATTTCTGTAAAGTTACACTGAGTATGCCTGCCTTTCCTTCCATCTCCTCCTCTTCTGCCTCTGACACCTGAGACAGCAAGACCAACTCCTCCCCCTCCTCCTCCTCAGCCTACGACATGTGAAGACTAGGATGAAGACAATAATGATCCACTTCCACCTAGTGAATAGTAAAGAATCATGCCATACAGTTAATAAGCTTATCTGTTGTGCATGTGTGTGAATTTCTTTGTGTGAAAATTCAGTAACCGTATGGCAAGAACTACATGACATTTTTGTGTCATCATCATAATTACTAAGTATTCATCGTGTAGAACATTGTGTGCAAACTTGTATGGAGTGGATAGCCTATCCTTACATAGGCTTGAGGTGACTGATATTTAATAAAAAATTAATAATGTGTTAGTTTTCTTACTGTTTTATAACTGTGCTTTCAAAGAACTGCATTACTGTACAGTATGCCTCTCTCTCTCATAATTGGAGAAACTGCATATCAGCCTATCATCACAGGTAAGTGCTTTTTGAAAAAAATGTAACAATGTTTCCAATACTGTCTTGTGAATATGACTCTAATACCATATGCCATAAAAAATTTTGTACTGATTCCTTTATTAGTGTATAGGATAGGTTACCATGAAGCAATTATATTGCTACTTCTTGTCAATGTATGAAAGGTTATATCTGTAAATAAATATTTTTTCACATTATCTTTTCATTTTTGATGTATAGTGTTAGTAATATGTATAACACCTACAGTGTTTGTATCTTATGAGATAATACTGACATAGATACTGACAAACATAATCTTATAAAGAGGGTGTAAACTTACAGTATTGATGAATACACTGCAGTACTTAAAATGTATTTTCTCTTCCTTATTATTTTCTTTCTTTTTTTTTTTTTAGGCGAGAAAACCCTTGATTGACCTCATAGATTGCAAGGACCTTGTCAGCTTACAATCCCTTATTTTTTAGGCCTGCAGCACCTGGTCTTCCTAG